ATTTGACCTGGTTTTCATGCTTAAAATAAGTTGTTTGTTTTTTATAAACTCATAGAGTTTATAAAAACTCTAAGGGTTACACATGAACAGCTGCTGAATAAAGAGGAACATTGTTTTGACAATGCAAAGGATTCATCACCTCCACACAGTTTGGACTTGAACACTGAGATAAGGGTTTCCATCTGACTAAAACTGACCACCAGGTGGACCTGTTCAGAGTGGAGCTCACTGGCCTTCAGAGTGTCCTTTTCTCCCTTCCAATCATTCAAACTTCTAATACAATTTTTAGCAAATCAAAAAATCATATTGCTAAAAGATTAAAGAACCTTACACTGAATAAAATCAAATGCAAACTAAATTCCCATTTAAAATCTAGCAAAGGTCATTTCAGAATATCAGAAGCACAGCCCATGGAAGCTAAACGATTTCAGTGTAATGCAGCGAAAGTATTTTCAACTGTCTTTGTCAGAAAAGTTAAGCATTTGCATCTGTCTCTTCAAATGGCCTTAAATATAAAGAAAATCCAAAAACTGATAAAGATTGTTAAGGTAAGATTGCGTTTAGACCCCTACTTTGACAGGTTTTCCCATCTGGTCTCAGTGTGAAGCCTTTCCTGCATCGACACACACAGGAGTCTTCAGTGCTCACAAACTCCTGCTCACACCCGTGGGTGCCATCAGCGCAGGGATCCACCTCTGCATGTGAGACACAGTGTGTTAGCTCATATGGAAATCACTGTAAGGGTTTCATTGGTGCATCTTAGTTGTATTTTGGTAAAGTTACCAAGAAAAGCCAGGAGCTTCTTTGGGCTCTGTTGTGTTCTTTATTTTGTATAAAGTCTTCATTAGCACCCCTCTAAATATAATTGTTTTTTCTCTGAAAGGTGAGGCAGCATCTGAGGTAACTATAGGATCTGAAAAGGTTTTGACTGCTTTGATCCAGTTAAACTTAGAGATAGCAAAATTATTATCCTCATCTAAGCCTCTAACTTTATGGTGGACTCAGTTCCAGCCATGTTAATCACGGAAGTGTCTATCACACAGAAGTGTGAGATCAACAGGCATTTTGGTGTGGCGTCCTCTGTATGGTCCGCTGTGGCGAAGGGAGAGTTTAGCCAAAAGGCAAAGCTCTCGATTTACGTTCCCAGTCTCATCTATGGTCATGAGCTTTGGGTCATAACCAAAAAACCAAGATCCCAGAGTTTTCTCCGTAGGGGGTCTGGGCTCACCCTTAGAGATAGGATGGGGAGCTAGATCATCCAGAGAGGTCTCACAGTAGAACCGCTATTCCTCCACGTTGAGTGGAGCCAGTTAAGGTGGCTCAGGCATCTGGTTAGGATGCCTTCTGGACACCTCACCTGAGAAGTGTTCCGGGTACGTTCCACCAGGAGGAGACCCAGAGGGAGACCCAGGACACGCTGGAGGGACTATGTTTCCCAGCTGGCATGGGAACGCCTTGGGATTCCCTCAGAGTGGCTGGCCCAAGTGGCTTGAGAGAGGGACATCTGGGCCTCCCTACTGAAGCTGCTACCTCCACGACCCAACCCCAGAAAAGC